AGCACACAAACATATACACATGCACACACTCGCGTTGACTAGAGGACGTACAAAAGAAATGACTCCTGAAGTAATAGGTTTTATAGAATTAGGAGTGAAGTTTTATATTGAGAAAGGACATGTGTGTGTGTCGTGGCGCTGATGAGAAAGAAGGAAACGGAACCCAGGCTGGAACGCACCAGGCGGGCCGGTGCGATTATGCGTTTTTGCACTTCTCGTGCCATAGGCAAGATTGCAAGGAATCACAGTAGCTAGACCTGTAACATACTGGCCCTCGAAGTTCGGGAAGTTAATTGTGCAACTATGTGGTATGTCAGTTGTAGATGCCGGCTTCAGTGACCCGGCAAATGGAAAAGTGCTGGTCCGCAAAAAAGTCCACACTAGAAGAGTTAAATTTCAAATCTTTTAGTCGCACATAAGTAGGGAACATTCCCTTCAAATTAAAGCCTTCAGCTTGTCTCTTTACCGAATTGGCGGTTTTCCCACCAAAATTTTCACGTGTCCGTATGTGATTACCGAACAGTTTTAAGGAGATGAATTTAAAATCTTTTGGTCACATATGAGTAGGGAACATTGTCCTGAAGTTTCAGCCTTCTAGCTTTTTTCGTTCCCGAGTTAGTGATTTTTGCGCCAAAACTTCCATGTGCCTGTACGTGAGCCCCAGGTGTTTCTAAACCTGATTTTGCTCGTACATGAGTGGGGAACATTCCCGTAAAGTTTCAGCTTTCTAGCTTTTCGCGTCCCCGAGTTAGTAATTTTCGCGCCAAAAGTTTTCACGTGCCCGTACGTGAGCCCCGGGCTGTCCTAAGGGGCTGAGTTTGAAATCTTTTTGTCGTACACAGGTAGGGAACATTCCCCTAAAGTTTCAACTTTCTAGCTTCTTTCATTTCCCAGTTATGAATTTTCCCGCCATAATTTTCACGTGTCCGTACGTAAGCCCCGGGCAGTCCTGGGCAACTGAATTTGAAATCTTTTTGTCACACACAGGTAGGGAACATTCTCCCAAGTTCTCAGCTTTCTAGCTTTTCTCGTTCTCGAGTTAGCGATTTTCGCGCCAAAACTTTCACGTGCTCGTA